AAGATTATTTTGATTGATCGATTAATCGATTAATCGATTAATCGATTGATTGGTTGATGGATTAATCGGTTGATTGGTTGATTGGTTGATTGTTGATTGGTTGATTGGTTGATTGGTTGATGGATTAATCGGTTGATTGGTTGAAGGATTGATTAAATTGATTGATTGATTGATTGATTGATTGATTGATTAAATTGATTGACTGATTGATTGATTGATTGATTGATTGTAATGTCGATCGAGTGATTGTTGGTGAAGAACAGAGAGGTGGGAAAATTACAACGATGGTACGTGTGAAACGAACGATTGCGAAAGGAACAAAGGAAACCCAAAATGTCATTCAAAAGGAGAAGTAGATAGATTTGCCCCCCCCCAAGCCACCACCAACTCAAAAAGAAAACAAAAAAAAAACTGGGCCCATCCCAATTGCAGAGAGGATTGCCCCAACTGCAGTGGGGAGCGTGCGTTGTGTTCGAGGGATTCTAGCGCTGTCCTGTAATAAGTGCATTTATTACTGTAGTAAGTTTTCAGCACTCATTTACTGAGTGCTCTTGGGCCCGTTTTCAGCACAAATTCAGATTGCACGTAATGTACCAGCTGACTCATCTTCAGCGCTTATTTCAAGCCATGCATGTAGTAGCGATGACTGCGGTCTGCATTTGTGTGAATGGGATTGATGAAAAGGATTCCAGTCCCATTTCAAGTGCACTTGAAATGGGACTGCCCAAGCGCACTTGAAAATGGGACTGCCCAAGTGCACTTGAAATGGGACTGCCCAAGTGCACTTGAAATGGGGCTGCCCAAGTGCACTTGAAATGGGACTGCCCAAAAGCACTTGAAATGAATGGCCCAAGTGCACTTGATATAGGATTGCCCAAGTGCACTTGAATGATAATGCGGCCAAGTGCACTTGAATGGTAATGGGGCCAAGTGCACTTGAATGGGACTGTGTATGTGCGCACTTCTTGAATGTGACGGCCCAAATGCACTTGAAATCAGCCCCTGTGCACTTGAATGGGACGGCCCGAGTGCACTTGAATGGGAAGACCCAAGTGCACTTGAAATGGGCCCCCAAGTGCACTTGAAATGGCAGCAATCGCATTCACAAAAACCGGGCACGTGTGAAAACGAGCCAGCTGTACTCGGTGTGAAAACCTTGGAAATAAGAAAGCAAAGTAACCCTTGCGCCCACGCAGAGACCTACTGACTCATACAGATGCGCCTGGCTCGTTTTCACTCTTGTCGTGTCACGCTTCTGTACCACATGTGTGAAAACACGATCCAGCTGTGTACTACTTGATATGAAAACGTTTCAAAGAAAGAGAAGAATGCCAAAGTTGTGTCTTCTTTCCAAGGGTTTTTGTCAGAGTTAACCATAGCCGAAGTAACATTTTTGACTTTTACCCTTCTTCGTTGGCTATGGGCGGCGCAATTCCCAAGGCAACTTTGAATTGAAAGAACGAAGAATGGCAAAATTTTGGCTATGGGGTTTTCTTCTCTTTCGTTAAAAAGAATGTCGTTTCCTTAGGAACTGCGCCGCCCATAGCCACCGAAGAAAGCTAAAAGTCAACATTGTTACTTTGGCTATGGCAAAGTAACCATAGGCAAATAAGAAGTCAGAAGTAAACCATAGCCGAAATTCCTACTATACCTTTCTTGGCCTTTTGGCCAAAAAAGAATAGCCGAAGTGTAGGGTGTGTTCTGATCCGTTAATAAACTAAAATAAAAATAAATAAATAAATGAATAAAGAAAGAAAGAAATAATAATAATAATAAAAATGCTGGGTTTTTCTTTTGCCGGAGGTATTTGGCTATTGTATCTCCGTCCTACCGCCACACGGGAAGAATAATGTATGATGCAGGAAGGCAAGAGGGCGCTGGCATATGCCCTACGTGGTTTTAGTGCTAGCGCCACCTGAACTGGCCTCATCAAAGCGGAGGGGGGGGGGGAATACCTCGTTCGAGAGTGCTGTGGTCTGCTGTGCTGGCCGTGCTCGCTATTACATGCATGCATGCAATCAATCAGTCAATCGATAGATGAATGGATGAATGAATGAATGGAATGAATGAAAGCAATAAATCAGTTAATGGACAAATGAATGGAATTTTAACGACCAGTTCATCCAGTTCATCCAATATATCAATTGGGTGGTTAAAGAATGATTGATCACTTGGGTTTAAGAGCGAGCCGAACGCTAATCTATCAATCAATCGATCGGCTGATCCAATCTACAAATCCAAGCCGAAATCCAGTCCAATCCAAAATCCAATGCAATCCAATCAAATCCAATCCAATCCAAATTCCAATCTGATCCAATCAACCAGTCAATTGATTAATCAGGCAATTGATTAATCAATCAATAAATCAATCAATCAATCAATTGATTAATCAATCAATCAATTGATTAATCAATCAATCAATCAATTCATTAATCAATCAGTCAGTCAGACAGTCAATCAATCAATCAATCAATCAATCAATCAATCAAGAATCAAGAATCAATCAATCGATCAATCAAGAATCAATCAATCAGTCGGTCAGTCAATCAATCAATCAATTAATCAATCAATCAGTCAGTCAGTTGGGCAATCAAGAATCATCAATCAATCAATCAATTAATCAGTCAGTCAATCAATCAAGAAACATCAATCAATCAATCAATCACCTAATCAATCACCTAATCAATCAATAATTAATCAATCAATAAGTCGTTTAGTCATTTGTCCAATCAGTGAAGGCAATGGATCGGCCGTTTAAGAAGTCAGTCCGATCATTATTAAATCGATAATTAATAAACACTAAACAATCAATCAACTACTAGGGGCTGATCATCAGATTGACCTACGATCAATTGGCACAGTCATTGTCAACGATGAGGTCGGCCAACCAATGGATGCATCATCTGGCCGAATAAAGTCAAATAAATAAAAAAACAATCAAACCAACAAACAAAAAGCAATCAAATCAATCAATCGATCAATCATCTGGCCGAATAAAATCAAATAAATAAAAAAAACAATGAAACCAACAAGTAAAAATCAATAAAATCAATCAAATCATCCAAATCAATCAAATCAATCAAGTTAAAAATCGTCAGCCACAGCGACCGTTTAATGTTTCTCTGTTTGACGAGGCTTTTTCTCCTCGTTTCAAAAAACACTGCATAACTCTCTGCTGATCTAAGATTACTTCTGTTGATCTTTTTTTTTTTTTTTTTAATCTATTCATCGTTTGATGCAAGGATCTGACGGTTCTGTAGTGATCTGACGATTTGCTGTACTGACCTTTGCCTATTTTGTGTTGATCCGACGACGATTTGCTATTGCTCTGTGGCCTGTGGCTATTTCGTGGTAATCTGTTTATCGTGAGATGCTGTTAACAGAGCCCTCAATTTTCTATAACCGCTAATTCCCCACCCGCTCCTCCCCCCTCCCCCCTCCCCCCCCTCTCCCCTCCCCCCTTCCCCCTCCCCCTCTTTAATCTGTTTTTTTCATGGTCTTTATAGCAAAATTCCCACACATTCATATTGAACTTGTCACTGATCCATAAGAGTGGACAACCAGTAGACTGTAAACCAACAGCGGAAAAAAAAGAAGGGGGGGGGAAGAAAGAAGGGAAAAAAGCAAAAAAAAAGCCAAAATAAGCGGAAAAAAGGGGGAAAGGGCAAAAAACGAAGAAGAAAAAAGAGAAAACAGCCTAAAACCATAAGGCAAAAATGTGCTTTTATGCAAAATTCACCCTTTTAAACCTTTTTACAGTTTTTGAGGATTTTCAGGATTTTCAGGGCTTGCCAAAACAGTCAGATCTCCAAGGATCCAACGAGCACCAAACTTGGCACACACAAAGCTTGACCAAAAACAAGACACGGCGGGGGGAAAAAACACACACACACACACAAAAAAAAAAAAAAAAAAAATTGAAAAAAAATCGAAAATTTACCTCGAACTGCCCTTTTCGGCTGTGTTACCAACCAGGCTGCCCGGATCACGCGGGTTGGGCCCGGGCAAGGGCCAGGGAAGGTCCCTGCCAAAAAAAAAAAAAAAAAAATCCGGAAAAAAAAAAACTATGCTGTGCAGAAAAATGAACTCAGCAATTTCTGCTCTAGGGTCGGATCGAAATTCTTTGTGAAATCAGAAAATGCAAAACAAAAATTAATATTTTTGTTTTTATTTTTAAAATTTTATTTCATTTTTTGGCCTGGCCGGGCGAGTGGTCCCGGTCCTGACTCCCGGAGGCCACTTTGGTAAGATAGCTTTTCAGTGCTTGAGATGTTAACTAACTTAACTCACCTATGGGCTGAAAAATGGTTAACAGGGACCCCCATTAAATGGGAGCCATCACGTTTTGTGTTTGTCGTGATGGCTGTCAGCATCTGATGTGGTGGTGCTCTCTGTTGATCTGAGAATCATTCTGTTTTTTTTTTTTAATTATATTTCATAATAAATTTAAACATCCTGAGAATCATTCGGTGTTGATCTGTTGGGTAGGTTCATCTCAGAATCTGCTTAGGGTACCCCAACTGGCCTAGCTCCACAGTTGGCAAAACCCATCAACAGTTGAAATAAACTTTTTTTTTGCTTTTTTTCCCGAGAGTCGAATTCCTTGACGAACAGAAGCAAATAAATAATTCCGAATTAGGAATTAGTAAATTACTAATTACCCCTGGGCCCGGTCAGTTGTATGGTATTATCTCAAGGCTGTCGCCTTAAACCACCAGTACCTCCGAGCCTGTTTTTGCCGACCCTGAATTTCACTGCGCTCCGAGTTTTGCCGAGCCTGGGTACCACTCCGTTTTCTTTCTGGTACTCTCACGGAAAAGAACCAAAAAAAATGAAAACGAAAAAGAAGAAGAAAAGTTGCGGCTGTGAACCTCAGAAAAGAAGGGAAAAAAAAAAGGAAACAAAGCTTTGGCCGTGATTGCAGTTGTATACATTCTTGGAAGTGGTAGTGTGAGTGTGCCCTCAAAGAGGGCATCTCAGCCCCATGACCAGGTTGTCAGATTCCAAAAAGAGAAAAAAAGGGGAAAAAAAGGGGCACATGGATCCGGCCGTGAAAATGGCTGGATACATTCCCCTAAGTGCCAGTGTGATGAGCCTTTCAATCCTCTGACAAAACACAGCTTGAGCAGATCATGGACAGCTTGAGCAATTCACGGACAGGGGACTCATAAGAAACACACGTGACACGACCAAGAAAAAAAAGAAAACAGTAACATTCAGAATGTGACCGCCTTACCTGTAAGGTGCATTCTGTGGAGGAAGATTGTGAGCACGGCCTCCTCCTGGACTACCCAGCCCGACATCATTGCAGTAGAGAAAGCATTTTTCCCCTCCCCTTTTTCCGTTCACTCGTGGCACTATAAAATTCAGATTTATGGGACATTGCCAACCCTGTGTCCCACCCCGGAAAAGTTCGGGTACTGGCGAAGACATCATAAGTTCCCAACACTGGCAGAGGTACTGGTGGGTTAAAAAAAAAAGAAAAAAAAAGGGATTTGTTGACGGTTCTGTGTTGATCCTCTTTTTTTTTTTTTTTTTTTTTTTTTTTTTAATCTCAGATTCTTCGAAGCCAAAAGTTACACACGGACATGATCCTTCCTTCATTCGAGAGGTGAGAGTCATTCGATCATCATGGCAGCTCTCAGTCCTCAGTCAATTAAGTACCAGTAATCTTCCCCTCACCCCTTCCCCCCCCCTTTTCCCCTCCCTTTCCCCTCCCTTTCCCCCCTTCAACTTCTACTCCCCCCTGAAAAAAAATAAAAAATAAAAATAAAAAATAAAATAAAAACCCAGTAGTTAGCACTCGATGAAAATTTGGATCCCTCTTGCTGTTGACAGTCAGTAAGTGATTGGAGGTGAAACTTCAACGAAACTTCGTTGAATTTTATCGGTCTTGCTGATGAAGTGGAGACATTTATTAGTAGTAGGTGAAAATTTGACAAAACCCATTATTATTATTATTATTATTATATTATTATTATTATTTGGATCTATCGTGCAGTTGCTGTTGAAAGGCCCCTCATGTGCTTGGTGGTGAAACTGCGATGACTTCGTCGGAAACATTTTGTTACAGCCTCCCCCCCTCCCGTTCTTGTCCTTCTTTTCTTTTTTTAATAAACTCTTGTCCTTTTCTCCCTTTCTGCCTACTCATATATGCTATATATATATATATATATATTGTCCTCTTCTCCCTCTCTGCCTACGGTTTACCGGGCAGTTCTATTTGACGATATATAGATGCATTGTGGCGGATTGGAGAAAAAGTTAGTGTTAGTTGAGCCGAGAGAAGGTTAGCATCTCCCTCGATAAGGATGGGAATAGTCTACGGACTATATGAACACATACGGTTTAGGCTACCCACCCTCGGGTGGAAAATGAGAAAAAAAAAAAAAAGAAAAAAAGTTAGCGGGACTGTAGAGGAGGCAGCGAGAGTTCGATTCTCCCTTCACTGTGTTTGCAAAGTCCCTTTTGCTGTGCGTCTCCTTCTTCTTCTTCTTCTTTTCTTTTTCAGCTCTTTCTCGAATTCTTGGCACTGGTTTGATTCTCCCCTCGTGCGGGTCATGAAATCACTGGTATGCTTATGTGTTGTCCAACCGATGGTTTACATTTCAACCCTTTCTCAAGGTCCATCACATCTGCGTACAGAGGGCATACTCACACTAGGACGTCTTGGACTGAGCTCTGGATGTGATTGCGGCCAGATATATCCAGGCTTGGCTGTAATTGCAGTGAGATAAATTTAGAAAAAGTGCAAGGGTTTACATTTCAACCCTTTCAAGGTCCATGCTTACTCTCCTCTCCTCTCCACTCCTCTCCTCTCCACTCGTCTCCTCTCCACACGTCTCCTCTCCTCTCCACTCCTCTCCTCTCCACTCCACTCTCATCTCCTCTCCACTCCTCTCCTCTCCACTCCACTCCACTCCACTCCACTCCACTCCACTGCAATTGACCCCTCTCCCCCTTTCTCTCCCTCCCTCCCTCCCTCCCTCCCTCCCGTGCCAGTGATGGCTCCCATGGTTTGCACTGTACAATCGACCTGTTCCCTCCCTCTCCCCTTTCCTCTCTCCCTCCCTCCCTCCCTCCCTCAGGTGCCAGTGATGGCTCCTATGGTTAGCACTGTGCACCCACCTGTTCCCTCCCTCTCTCCCTTCCTCCCTCTCCCCCTCCCTCGCTCTCCCCCTATCTCCCTCCCTTCCTCCCTCCCTCCCTCCCTCCCTCCCTCCCTCAGGTGCCAGTGATGGCTCCCATGGTTCTCTTTGTGAATACCTCACTCTCTCCTTTCAATTTCCTCACTCCACTTGCTGGCTTTTTTTTTTTTTGTATTTTGTTTTTCCTCCAGTCGGTTGCTTGTTCGATCAGTTTGCCGTCACCTAAATTGTCAATCGGTCCTCCACTGAGTGCACTCCATGTCCGCTCTGTCACTCATTCATGGCTGCTGGTTGAAAAAGGAGTTCTCTGCCCAGACAGGTGCACAACTGCACACCTTGGTTTCCTTGGTTAAAAGTGAGTGGTAGCATTTTGTTTTCGTTGTGAACATTCATTATTATTATATATTATCTATCTATTTAATGTTATCATATTGCTATACGTATTATTTTTTGTTTTTGTTTTTGGTTTTAAAATTTAGACGAGTTCTTACTAGTTTGAAAATTTTGGACTTTTGAACAAACCTTTTTTTTTTTTTTTTTTTTTATAGGGCCATTACCTGGCATCGGCTAAGAACAGTCTGAGAATACCAGGGCCATTACCTGGCTTCGGCTAAAACCTATATAAGCTTGATTTGCATTCATTCTTCTGGTACAAATGGAGTGAGCAGGAGAAGGTGGTGCTTTCACTTCTTCTTTTTTTTTTATAAATATTCAATGGTGTTGAATCTGTAGATTTCAATAATTGATACCTTGTGTTTAACACCTCGTCCTTCACTCTGCCTCTTTCCCATAGTGTGCAAGTGGGCTGTTATGGCATACGTTGATGGGGGCAGCTCGCGCTCAACTTCATCAACGTGGCGAGCCTTGTACGTTAGAGGCACACTGGAGGAGGCGTTAAGAAGAGTGAGAAACTGAATGATTTCAATGTGTCTTTGTTTTTTATTTTTATCCTCTGATTCAGTGTAATTTTCTTTTGTAAAACACTGAAAGAAATAATAATACTGTGAAACAAAGAATAAGAGGACACTGTTTTGTTTAAGGTAGATTATCATTTACAGTGTAATCAGTGAGGGGATTCTGCAGACTGTTGAGGGTTCAGCCTCCTGATGAGTTGGTGAAACTCCGACAAAACAGTTTGTCACAGCCCCTCGTTTGTTGTCCTCTTCTCTCTCTCTGCCTACGGTTTACCGGGCAGTTCTGTTTGTGACGATATATGTTGTGACGATATGAGTCGGTGAAACTCCGACGAAACAGTTTGTCACAGCCCCTCGTTTGTTGTCCTCTTCTCCCTCTCTGCCTACGGTTTACCGGGCAGTTCTATTTGACGATATATATATATATATATTTATATTTATTTTTCATTATTTCTTTTTAATGTGTGTGTGTGTGTGTGTGTGTGTGTGTGTGTGTTTTAATGAACATTGAACAAATTTATGTATATTGTAATAATTTATCTCCATTCTTTCTTTCTTTCTTTCTTTCTTTCTTTGCCCTTTCTTTCTACTCTTGCAGATGGAGGAGTATGAGACGACATTGTTGTTAATTTTGATAATATATATTATATATGAATCTAGGTTGTTTTATCAGACGTCCGGGGCCCCCCGACCGTCCGGGACGTCCGACCGGACGTCTGGTCGGACGTCGGATCAGACAGGGGATGTCCGACCTAGCGCAAAAAAAAAAAAAAAAAAAAAAAAAAAAACAAACAATCATGTGGCTTCTACCTTGCATAAGGTGTATGCCACCAAAATTTTGGCTTATTTGAGCC